AAGGATAAGATGTTCATAGAATTCATGCATTTCACTATATAATCATTAGAGCCCACCCTAAAACAAGAACCCCTGACTCAGGGGCCCTGAAATTCACAAATTGGGGAGAGGCAGTCTTATTCAACATAACTTTGTACTTAGTTACTTTATTTAATGCCCAGGAGTAGAGAAGAAGATTTTTAAAGAATTAATGTATTTTCACTATATAATCAATAAAGCCCCGCCCTAGCACTAGAACCCCTGACCCAGGGGCCATGAATTTCACAATTTTGGTAGAGGCCACCTTATTCAACATAACTATGTACTTGGTTAGTTTATTTAATGCCCATGAGCAGAGAAGAAGATTCTCAAAGAATTTATGCATTTTCACCATGTAATCAATTTAGCCCCGCCCTAGCACTAGAACCCCTGACCCTGGGGCCATGAATTTCACAATTTTGGTAGAGGACTCAATGCTGATTACAATCATGCAAACAGTTTGACTGCTTGATGTCCAGGAGTAAAGAAAAAGATTTTTAAAGATTTCATTAATTTTAGTGGTTTTTGCCCCACCCCTCAGGCCCCAGGGGGGCAGGGACCATGAAATTCACAATTTTTGTTCCCCTTCACCCATAGATGCTTTGTGGCAAATTTGGTCAAAATTGGTTGAGCGGTTGCAGAGAAGAAACTGAAAATGTTTAAATGTTAACGCACGGCGAACGACGGACGACGCACGACGACGGACGACAATAGATAGCAATAGGTCACCTGAGTTTACTCAGGTGACCTAAAAATAATAATTAAAAAATAAAATAGCAATAATAAACAAGAGGCCCATGGGCACTGCGGCTGGGAAACAGTAGAAATTGGTTTATTACTGAATAGTTTATATCCAAAAGTAGTCCCATGACCAATCATGGCTTCGCTATTCTTCATAAGATGATTTTTAAAGAATTTTCCTATATATGTCTATATATGTAAAACTTTGATTGGCCTTTGTGGCCCTGCCCTACCCCAGAGGGTCATAACTTGAACAAACTTGAATCTACACTACCTGAGGATGCTTCCATATAAATATGATCAATTATGGCTTTGTTATTCTTGAGAAGAAGATATTTAAAGAATTTTCCTATCTATTTCTATGTAAAACTTTGGTTGGCCATTTTGGCCCCGCCATACCCCCAGGGGTCATGATTTGAACAAATTTGAATCTACACTACCTGAGATGTTTCCATATAAATATGGTCAATTATAGCTTCACTATTCTTGTGAAGAGGAGTTTTAAAGAATTTTCCTATATATAATGGCCCCGCCCTACCCCCCGGGGTCATAATTTGAACAAACTTGAATCTACACTACCTGGGTATGCTTCCATATAAATGTGATCAATTATGGCTTTGCTATTCTTGAGAAGAAGATTTCTTGAATCTTAACACTACCTGAGGATGTTTCCACATAAGTTTCATCTTTCCTGGCACAGTGGTTCTTGAGAAGAAGATTTTTAAAAGATACCACCAAATTTTCATTAATTCCCAATTATGTCCCCTTGAATGAGGGCATGGCCCTTCATTTGAACAAACTTGAATCCCCTTCACCCAAGGATGCTTTGTGGCAAGTTTGGTTGAAATTGGCCCAGTGGTTCTTGAGAAGAAGTCAAAAATGTGAAAAGTTTACAACGACGACGACGACAACAACAGACAATGGACAAATTGTGATCAGAAAAGCTCACTTGAGCTAAAAATGATATCTTAATATATATCTTGACCTAAGAATTCAATGAAATTATCATAAATCATTTTGTACAGTATTTTAACCAAAACTAGAGGTACTGTGAGCAATGAGCTCACTAAATGATACCCCTCGCCTCCCATAATGTCCATGTTTTGCTTTATATTGTTTTACGGTAATGTGTAAAGAGGAATGACTCGTCATATCAAATGTTATCCAGAAGCTTCTATATGTGACGTCAAAGGTAAGCAATATAATGGCAATGTCCATGTTTTGCTATGGGAAACCTAAAATACGTGTCGAATAAAAAAGTAAAATAGGAGGTGCACAATGGCAATATGTAATAAAGATTCTGTGAAAGTTTCATTAAATTTCACCCAGTAGTATAAGAGGAGTTGCAGATAAGAGATGGGTACCCCAAACGTAACAGACAGATGGACGGACGGATGGAAATACCGATTACTATATACCCTCCCACTTTTCAAGCAGGGAGGTGGGGGGTATAATAAAGTATGAACATTATTTTAATTCCATATTTCATGTATAAATGTATATGTATACACATTATTCAAAATTGACCTTAACTTCAAAACAAAGTTCGTTTGCAGACAGAAGCGGTAGAGTTATTAATCTCAATGTGACAGATAAAGATAATGCTAAGGATTTTCGTCATGTGGAAGGGTAATTAATCCCAAAGGACAAATTGCACAGCCTTCCCAGTTTACAATGGTAACATTCTCAGCAGTTATCTCTCTTTGCCCCTTCATTCTTATGCATAATTAAGGAATATACCCCACCATCCCAGCTCCAAACCAGAAGACAAAGAGAACCAAACTTAGCTTCAAAATATGTATTTCTGCCTACTGAACTACCATACCAAATTTAAACTTGACTGGGCAACTATAAAAACCAGAAGTCTCTGTCGAGACTGTAGCTCTACTGGTTTATACTTAAAACAGAGGCAGAGAAAAGTAGCAGTTGGGACTTGAGACTTTAAAATAGCAATAAATAGAAAAATGATCCTTGCCACTCATCAAAATAAAAACCGATGTACAGAATTTTGTATCTTATTATAGTCTACTTTTGTACCTAGTTATATTGAAATCAGACCAAAACTGTAGGAGACGTAGCATTTTGAAAGAATTTCACAGAAATTTCTATTTTTAGTAACCATGTCAACATCATTCATTGAAAGCAAAAACCGATGCACAAAATTATGTATCTTATAGTGTAGTCTACTTGTGTGCCAAGTTATAATGAAATCAGACCAAAATTGTAGGAGGAGTAGCATTTTGAAAGAATTTCATAGAAATTTCTATTTTTAGTAACCATGGCAACACCGTTCATCAAAAGTAAACACCCATGCACAGAATCATGTATCTTAGTGTAGTCTACTTGTGTGCCAAGTTATATTGAAATCGGACCAAAACTGTAGGAGACGTAGCATTTTGAAAGAATTTCACAGAAATTTCTATTCTTAGTTACCACGGCAACACCATTCATCGAAATCAAAAACCGATGCACAGAATTATGTATCTTAGTGTAGTCTACTTGTGTGCCAAGTTATATTGAAATCGGACCAAAACTGTAGGAGGAGTAGCATTTTGAAAGAATTTCACAGAAATTTCTATTTTTAGTTACCATGGCAACATCGTTCATCAAAATCAAAAACCGATGCACAGAATTATGTATCTTAGTGTAATCTACTAATGTGTGCTAAGTTATATTGAAATCGGACCAAAACTGTAGGAGGAGTAGCATTTTGAATGTTTTTCATAGAAATTTCTATTTTTAGTAACCATGGCAACATCGTTCATCAAAATCAAAAACCGATGCACAGAACTATGTATCTTAGTGTAATCTACTTGTGTGCTAAGTTATATTGAAATTGGACCAAAACTGTAGGAGGAGTAGCATTTTGAAAAATTGTTTACAGACAGACAGACAGACGGACGGACGCCGGACGCATTACTATCGCATAAGCTGACCAGTAGAGCTAATAAGTTATTACAAAAAACAGAAAATTTGTGGATGGAAGAATGACAGACGGACAGCTAGACAGACGGACAGACAGAGTGAATTCTATAGGGCACCTGCAAATCCTTGCGAAGCCCTAAACCCACAAATCCTTGTGGGGCCCTAATAAGTAACCCCCCCTCCACACACACACACACACACACAGAATTCATGCATTTTCACTATATAATCAATTAAGCACTGTCCTGCTCTAAGACCAGAACCCATAACACTCAGGGCCATAAAATTCACAAGTTTGAAAGAGACACCCTTGCTCATCATACCTATACATAAAGATTGTTTAATACCCAGGAGCAGCTAAGATTTTCAAAGATTTAATGCACTTTCACTACTGTAGATCACTAAATTTTCGCGACACCTTTTTTTCGCGAGATAGTCATTAAATCTTAATTAGCGAGACAAAATTTTCGCGAATTGTGGTTATTGCTCTATATAATCTTAAGGAATACTATTATACTCGAGAATTAAATTTTCGCGAGCACACTGTCTCGCGTAATAACGCGAAAATAAAGTTCTCGCAAATAAAAAGTGATTTACAGTATATAATATACACAGCCCCGGCCTAGCACTAGAGTCCATTACAATCATGCCCACGGTTTGACTGCTTGATGTCCAGGAGTATAGAAAAAAATTTTTAAAGATTGCATCAATTTTAGTGGTTTTAATCTCATCCCTCTGGCCTCAGGCCCCAAAGGGACAGAAATCATGAAATTTACAATTTTTGTTTCCCTTCACCCATAGATGCTATATGCCAAATTTGGTTGAAACTGGTTCAGTGGTTCCAGAGAAGAAGATAAAAATGTTCAAATTAAAGTTAACAACTGATGAATGCCGAGGAAAGGAAGACAAACGAAAAAGATAGTAATAGGTCACCTGAGTAATTCAGGTGAGCTAAAAACTATGGATACTGTAGATCACTTAATTTTCACGACACCTTTTTTCGCGAGATAGTCAGTGACTCTTTATTTGCTAGACAAAATTTTCACAAATTGTGGTCATTGCTCTATATACTCTTAAGGAATTCTATTATACATGAGAATGAAATTTTTGCAAGCATACTCTCTCGCATAATTACGCGAAAAAAGAGTTCTCGCAAATAAAAAGTGATTTACAGTATTCTGTATGAAAAATGTGTATTCAGTGAGGTATTTGGGAGGGGGCACTTGATAGTTTCAGACTGGAAAAAAAAAGGATGAACACCTATGCAGGCATGGGTACTTGTTGGAAGAAATACAGATCAAACTATTTAAACATACCTGCAGAAGGATCCTACAGCACATGGGTCACATTGGGTCTTGTTCTGTTTACTCTGATAAAATCCTTCAGAACATAGGTTACATTGACTAGAGCCATTGGCTGCTGAGAAACTTCCTACAATTAAAATGTTTTACTTTATGTCTTCAGATTCATAAATTGAAATTAACAAGAGGCCCAAGGGCCACATCGCTCATCTGAGTAACTTTGGCTATGCTATTTATTAAATTACCAGATTTCCGCCCTTGTAATACCTATTGTGGCCCCACCCTACCCCCATGGGACATGATTTGGACAATTTAGAATCTACCATACCCCAGGATGTTTCCACATTACTTTCAGCTTTTCTGGCCCAGTGGTTTTTGAAAGGAAGATTTTTCCTATATATTTCAATGTAAAATTTGGATTTACTATTGTGGCCCCACCCTATCCCCGGGGGCCATGATTTTAACAATTTAGAATCTACACTACCTCAGGATGCTTCCACATAAGTTTAAGCTTTTCTAGCCCAGTGGTTCTTGAGAAGAATTTTTAATGACCCCATTCTTTTTTTTATATTTCTGGATTATCTCCCCTTGTGAGGGGTCTTAGCCCTTCACTTTGATAATTGATAGTCTGTCTAATCCCCAATAACAGAATCTTGCTATAGAGAGTTATTTTGACCCCAACAACCTCACTACTTCCTCTTTACTCAAAGATGCTTTGTACCAAATTTGGTCAAAATTGGCTTAGTGGTTCTTGAGAAGAAGTTGAAAATGTGAAAAGTATACAGAGGGTACATAAAAAGTAGTTTGTTCTTCTACAATACACTACCTAAAGCATGATTCTGTATTGATATGGCTAAGGCCATAATAAATAAATTGCTAGATTCTCATCCAATTTTTTTAAAAATTGAGGAGGGCGGCTTTTATTTTATATTTTTTCAATTTTGCAGATTTGTTATTGACCTGGTCAATCGGTGTAATTTTATCTACAATACCCGAATAAAAGTCATAGTAAAGGTTCAATCATCTCTTACTTTACATCATCAACAATCTTTTTCAACCAATGACCCTTGTATAAAATATATAGGCATGTATTACAGCAATTACCACCATCTTTTCAGCTGTCAAAATCATGTCGACTTTCGCTGGATTTATAACGAAAGTAGAATGGAAGATGAATACTGATCCCAATCAGAATTAAGACGAAGAAAAACAGAAATATAAAAAAAAATCGAGACGGGGGTATAAAATCAGGGCGGGCGGGGATGGAAATCTGGGAATATTTTTATTATGGCCTAATAAAGACAGAGCTGTTCTTGAGAATGACATATTTCGTATATATTTCTTTGTAAAAATCTGATACACAATTAAGAAATAAGATATACCGGTACTGTAAATGTATTATATTTAGTGTGTACAATATTTGGCAGAAATTGAGTTTTGAACATATTAGCATAGATTTGATTTAGCGCATTTCCTAATTATGTACTTATTTACGTATATAAGTACAAAACATTTAGCGCTCTACTTGAATTAGTGTAAGTCTCTTTCCACCAAAAGCACTAAAAAGAATGCACAGCCAAATGTAATACGTTAGTAATTTTTAGAGTTTCTTTGGAGTATGACATGAAGTATCCTATAATGCCCGAAGGGCATTATTGTAGATTTGATCACGTACCGACTTCATGTCATAACCCAATGAAACTCTAAATAATGATATTTTATTTCTCATATTTAATATATTTTACTTCTTTTATTCATGTTACAAAAAAATATAGGCATTACAGTAAAACTCGTTTAGTATGAACATGGATATTGCAAATTCACAGTAATATAGCAAAGTTATATATTGGATCCCCAGCAACATAAATTTAACAGATTCCATCTATGGATATAACAAATAACAGATATAGAAAAGTAATTTCATAGGTCCCCGTGACTTGGTTATAACTGAGTTTAACAGTATTCAGACATTGCTATGGAAATGCAGCATAATTTACCTACGACGTCTTTTGACGTCACAATCGGAACTTTCCAAATGACCGGTGCAGTTTGTTTTCCAAACAGAAGAAAGTCTGATCATGTGACCAACTGCATGTCACATGAAAACTGAATTTCAATTTGATTAGTATTGTTATACCCCTACTAAACAGTTCCTATGTAATTCCTTACTAAAAAAAGTCCAACAATTCAACTGTTTTCCCCGCCTATCGGTCCAAGGAACTGTTAAAATTGCACGCTGACATCATATGGCACTAAATTGAGTTATCTTTTCCTCATTCGGCAAACCTCAGCTGATTTGGATAACAGTGAGTTAAATGTACTTAGCCGAGGAGTGCCCAGTAATTTAAACATGTCGTTTAACTATGACATCACAGCATATCTGGTGAAGCATAAAGCAGTTCGAGGACTTGTGTTCTAAGGCTACCTGTCATTCACAGGCGCTTGCTGTCGTTAAGATAAACGAAAATGACCAATGTTCATTTCACTGCAGCAAACGAGGAAGAAATCTAGTCGATACTTGAAAGTAGGGACAGTAAGAATGCAAAAAATATTGTGAAAACAGCTGAAAATATTCTCAGCGAATAAATGTCTTAATTTAAGACATATCCATCGCTTCTGCTTAATAAATCGTGTGAAGAATATTAAGCATATTGACTTGAGGAAATTCTATTGTGCCGCTTGTAAGAAGGATGGAAGCATGTATGTGAAGAAAACCATGATTTCTATTCACTATGGTTTACAGAAATAATTTGAGAAGTCCCATGGCAATGATATAATAAATGATCCACGATTGAAGATGGCAAAAGCCGATTGTTGATAAATACACACTATATTTATAGTCTCTATCTCCCAAAACAATGTTATTTTCTGTTAAATATATGAATTTCAGGTGTATAACAAAACATATGTTGACAGAGGTCTCGGGCAACAGTCAACCTGTTGGACCCGGGAGTGCAAGCTGTTGCTTGTTGCCTATATTGGGCAACAGCTTGCACCCCGGTCCAACATATCGACTTTTTCCCTCTACCCCAGTCAACAACTGTATATATTGTTATATAAGGAAAAACATTGGCAAATGTAAATATTTGCAGTTGAATGTTTTTTTTAAAAGTCAAAATGTTAAATCTAAAGGTTAAGGTCAAAAGGTAAAAAAAACTTTGATTATGAACTTTGCAGAATTATTAATTTTATATACTTAAGCAAGTAAAAAGTGATTTTGGACAGCCCAGCCATGAAAACTCAGACCCCCCTCAAAAACTTGGATTTGTGTTTAGTTGGTATGAAAAGTCATAGGTATGAAGAAGATTTGGAAGTTAACCACTACCACACATGTAAAAAGTGATCTTGGACTCCCACCCTAGAAAACTCAGACCCCCCTTGAAAACTTGGATTTGTGTTTAGTTCAGGTATGAAAAGTCATATAGGTTTGATGAAGATTTGGAAGTCAATCACTACTACACCCCCCACCCCTCAAATTTTCAAGTTTGGGGGAGTTAACTTTTTATATCCTCCGCTTGAAAAGCGGGAAGGTATATTAAGTACTCGGGATGTCCGTCCGTCCGTCTGTCCCTCAGTCTGTTACGTTTTGGGGTACCTATCTCTTATTCGCAACTCCTCTTTTACCACTGAATGAAATTTAATGAGACTTTCACAGAATCTTTGTAAATATTGCCATTGTGCACCTTCTCTTTTATTTTTTGACCGGACACATATTTGGGGTTTTCTAGAGCAAAACATTGACACTGCCATTTTTTCTATAATATTGAATGATACCCATCTTTCATTGTAACTCCTCCTTTACCACTAGTTAAAATTTAATGATACTTTCACAGATTCTTTATTACATAATGCCATTGTACATGTGCACCTCCTATTTTACTTTTTGATCCAATCTCTTGTTTATTCTTTTTTTCTGCTTGTCAACAAATTTCTGGGTTGAATCTTTTTTCCCTGGGTTGACCTTAATTGAAAAAAATTCCCGGATCCACATCTAAGGTTCAAGATATTATGACTATAAAATGTTGAATGGCAAAGGTCAAATTATATCATGACCATAAAATATTGATCCTCCTACTATTCAAAATTTAAATTGAAAGGGGAGAAATAATACAGAGTGGGTTGAATGTATTATGACCATAAAATATTGATTGACCTAACTATAAATTAAAAGGAGCGTTCAAGATATCATGGTTGTAAAAAAATGACATTTAGGGGAATAGGTGTCACAATATTATGCTAATTGTCAAACATGGGAGAGGGTTCAATATATTATGATCATGAAATATTGTTCTCTACTTTTTAAATTAAAACATACCCGGTAATAAATACTTTGAAGTCATGTTTTATCCTTTCTCCCTTTTTCTAGAGTTGAGTCTCTAAATGGGGGTTCAATATAATATTTGAACCCCTAATCTTTCAAGAGAGAATAGGATATCATTTTGTTACGGGGTTCAAAATTTTATGGCCATAAGACTATAATATACTAAACACCAGTTTCAAAATATTCTGGCCATAATATTTTGAACCCCAGGTTCAATATTTCCATATAGGGTCTCAATATTTTGCAATGGTATTTTGAACCCAAGTTCAAATATTGCAGGGTTCAATATTATTTATGATACTGAGGGTGTAGCCTATAAGGTAAAGCTTATCTTAGCTTTGTCGAAAGTCAAAATAGTCATGATACCAGAGACAGATAGGGTAGACAGACATCTCAGCCCATGGGCCAATCTAAAAGACACCTTGACCCAAACAAAATTTGTTATAAACTAGAACTGTCCAAACGGGACAAAATACCCTCGCTGGGTTTTTCAGAAGTAAGTTTTTCCATAATATAGATATGTATCACACACGAAGTATGAAATTTTTCTTCCAGTGACCTTGAAATTCCCCAAATGACCTTGGGTCAAGGTCATGACACACCCTTGGGTCATGGGCAATCTTTGCATGAAATGAGAACCTACCAAGTTTATCTATAAGAAAGATATGGACCGGACACGAACTATGAAATTTTTCTTCCTGTGACCTTGAAGTTCCCCAAATGACCTTGAGTCAAGGTCATTACACACCCTTAGGTCATGGGCAATCTTTGTGTGGAGTAGTAGATTCTAATGTCCCTCTGTAAGAAAG